GGGAATAGTGATCAGGAGGCTGATAGAGAGTCTAATCTGTGGAATAATATGTATGAGGGCAAGGAGATCAATAATACTCCTATCTGTAGGATAGAGTCAACTCCTAAAGATCTTGAGAGTGGGACTAGAGAGGTTAATGTGGTAGACAGAGATAGTGTCTCCAGGAATCCTGAGGTTGATACTAACCTTGGGGATCCCTCTGACAATAGATTGGCTGGGGACAATCCAGTTGAGGAAGCTCAGCTAGTTGAAGTTAGCATTGACACTGGATCCCTTGGTGACAAAGTGACCCAAAAAAAGAGAATCTCTATCTCCAGGAAATCTAAAATCTCTCCCAACCCTATGGAAGTGGATGTTGAAATCAACAGGTAGGGTTACCTTTTTCCAGTATCAACTCTTCTAAAAGAGCCTTTACTAATGAGGTTGCTAGTAATTCAGAGATGGTTTTAAATGAGGCTAATAAGAAAAAAATTGAAAAAAATCCAATCAACTTATCATTTCAGAGGTGGAGGTGACCAGCCCCAAGTGGTCTCATAGTTCTCGATGAAAGTATGTGTGTGGAATTGTAGAGGTTCGGAAAGACCCTCTACAATTTTCTAATTGCGAGAAACCCTTAGGGTTCACCTCTCAGATTTGATTTTCCTTTCATAGATTAAAAAAGATAAATTTGTTTCAACTGTCTGTAGGAAGTTAAAAGTAGGTGATAGGTGGTTTTATTCTAACCCTTCTAGGACTAAAGAAGGACTTCTCCTCTCTTGATCTGAGAAGATTTCTATTCTAGATTTGTTTCATTTTGTTTTTGTATTGGTATCAAATTTTGTGTTCATGGTAGTGATTTGTGTCAAAAAGGAGTGTTTGTGTATCTTCGCACAGATCCTTGGCTGAGAAACCTCCAATGGAATCTACTGGATAAACTTAAATCTAATCAGGGGGATCATTGGTTCATTGGAGTGGATTTCAATGATATTTTAGATGGCTGTGATAAGAATGAGGGTAAAACTAGAGATCAAGCATCTTTTCATCCCTTTAGGGCTTTTGTCAGAGATATGGGGATGTCCGAGACTAGGACCCTAGGACATCACTTCACTTGGTCTAATAATAGACAGGGGTTAGAGTTTATAGAGTCTAAGCTGGATAGGTTGTTTTTCTCCCCTGCTTGGTTATGTAATCACCTTGAGGCCTCGGTTAAGCATATCTCTTTATTCTCCTCTGACCATAGTATGCTTGTGATGGAGACTTCTTGTTCCCCTAATGCCAAACCCAAAAGATTTGTTTTTTATTCGAGATGGATCAACAAGGAGGGATTCAAGGAAGTTATTGAGAAAACCTGGAACTCAGAAGTTGATGGCCCAGAATTATACAGCATCCAGGCCAGAATTAAGAATGTTAGAATGACAATTCTGCACTGAAAAAATCTCATGTCACTAATTCAGCTTTGAGTATCAATAACTGCAAGGAAATTATGAGGAATCTGGAGCAACATGGGGGGTTAGAGAAATTGGAAAACATGGCAAAGATGCAAGGATAAACTGCACAAATCATATCTGGATGAAGAAAGATACTGACACCAAAAATCCAGAATTATGTGGTTCAAAGAGGGAGACAAGAATACAGAGTTTTTTCAAGCCTCTGTGAATCAAAGAAGGAAGGTGGGGTGCCTAGACAACTTGGTCAATTCTGTGAACATGAATTGTAAGAATGAAGTGGAAGTGGTGAAGGAATTAGAGCAATTCTACTCTAATCTCTTTACTTCCTCTATCTATAACTTGGAGGTGTGTGAGCTTGATGGCATACCTAAATCAATTTCTGAGGAGATGAATATGAGGCTTACCTCCATGGTTTCTGAGAAGAAGATCAAAGATGTGCTTATGGACATGGAACCTTCTAAATCACCTGGGGTTGATGGTATGACCACTCTCTTTTTTCAATCTTGTTGGTCTATTATCAAATATCATTTGTGTGTTGCCATTTTTAATTTCTTCCAATCTTGCAAAATGCCCAAAGAGATTAATCACACTGTGTTAACCTTTATCCCAAAGAAAAACAACCATGTGTGTGTTTCAGATTTCAGACCTATTGCATTGTGTAATGTGATTTACAAAGTAATTGCCAAGATTATTGCTAGTATGATGAATTGTTTGTTAAGTGAGTGTATCAATGCCTCCCAATCTGCTTTTGTTCCTGGGAGGCAAATTCTTAATAATGCGATTCTTGCCAATGAGTGTCTTTATTTTTTAAACAACAAAAGAAAAGGGGACAAATGTTTTATGGCCATTAAACTGGATATGACCAAGGACTATGACAGAGTAGAATGGGATTATTTATTAAGGATATGTAGGAAAATGGGGTTCTCTGAAATAGTTGTGTCTTGGATATCCTCTTGCTTGTGTACCACTTCCTTCTCTTTTAATATTAATGGTCAGGTAGCTAGTTTTGTCAAACATTCTAGGGGTATTAGGCACGGAGACCCTATTTTTTCTTACTTATTTATTGTTCTCTCTGAGGTTTTGTCCAACTTGATCTATCAATCTTGTGTTCAGAAACTTTTCTTTGGTGTTAAAATTAGTAGGTCCTCTCCAGCTATTTCCTATTTATTTTTTGCTGATGATGCCATCTTGTTTTGCCAAGCAGATAGGTACCATGCTCGTAAAATTCTTGATATGTTAGAGCTGTATGGTAGGTCCTCAGGTCAAAGTATCAACATTGATAAATCTTCTGTTTTCTTTTCTAAAAACACTCTAGATGGATCCAAAATGGAGACCTGTAATATTCTGAATGGTATTCAATGTGTCAAAGCTTCTAAATACCTTGGCCTTCTTCTAGGCATAGGTAGATCTAAAGTTGATACCTTTAAGTATGTTACAGACAGTGTTATGAAAAGAGTGTCTAATTGGAAGAATAATTTATTGAGTGAGGCTGGTAAAGTAATCCTAATAAAATATGTTCTTGAAGCAATCCCCACTTATGTTATGTCTTGTTTTAAATTACCTAAAAGGGTCTGTAAGAATATGGGCAGGGAAATATCTAGGTTTTGGTGGGGCAAAAATGATCAAGGTTGTAACAAAATTTGCTGGTCTACATGGGATGTTCTGGCCAAACCCAAAGAATGTGGGGGTCTTGGGTTTAAAGACCTGTGTGTGTTCAATGATGCATTGCTAGTTAAACAGATGTGGAGGTTGATCACTCAACCAAATATCCTAATCAGTAAGGTCTTGAAAGGCAGGTGCTATCCTAGGGGGAGTCTGTTGGAAGTCAAGTCCAAAAATGTGGACTCATGACTAAGGAAAAGCTGGTTTGGGATGAGGAAGAGTCTGGCCTTGGGTATTAGAGTGCAAGTGGGGGATGGTAAGGCAACCAAAATTTGAGAAGTCCCTTGGATCCCATCTATTCCTTCCTGCAAACCCGTATGTCAGTTTGCCTCTAATAGAGACAACTTGATTTGGGTTAGTGATCTGGTCATTCAGGATGGAGGGGTTTGGGATAGAGAGCTTATTATGCAAACTTTTAGCCCTAGCGAGGCAGAAGCTATCCTTAGGATTCCCTTATCAGGTTTAGACAGAAAGGACAGATTTATCTGGAAGTTTGGGAAGAATGGGGTGTTTTCAGTTAAGTGCACTTATAACTTCATTTGGCAGAATGTTATGCAGAGTAGACAGAGGGCTGAGACTAGTGAGGGTCATGCTTATGGTAGGAAGCAGTGGATGTCAATTTGGAAGTTGCCTGTCAAGAATAAGTTGAAACACTTCCTCTGGAAGCGTAGGTATAAATTCATTAGCTCTAATGATTAGCTTATGAGGAGGCATTTGCTGAGTGATGGTATTTGTTGCATTTGTGGAGAAGCTGAGGAGGATATAGATCACATTCTGTTTAAATGCTCTAGGGCCAAGCTAGTTTGAAAACTGAGTGGGGTAGAATGGAGTCACTTTGATAAAGCTGAATTTTCCTTTAATTCATGGTGGGAGGATATTTGTAATAGTAACTAGTCTTCTAACATCAAAGATAGGGTGAGCTTGTCCACCTACATTCTTTGGTTGTTGTGGAAGACTAGGAACTCGTGGGTCTTTAAAGAGAAAAGGAGAAGTGCCATACAAGTTGCAATAGGAGCTAGGGCTGAATGGGATGAATTTTTAGCATTGCAGGGTATAAAGGTTCCTGAGAGGACTGGAGGATTGAGAG